TCCAGAAGATGGACAGAGAGTGTATGCTTTATGTTTCTTGGTTTTACAGATAAGCATTTAGATTTAAAAATACTAACAATTGCGGGACGTGGGGCGGGGTGGCGCACGCCTTCAATCCCAGCACTCGGGAGGCAGAGGCAGGTGGATCTCTGTATGTTTGAGGCCAGCCTGGTCTACATAGGGAGTTCCAGGACAGCCAGAGCTACGTAATAGAGAGACTCTGTCTCACACAAGCAAACAAATGGGAACCTAACAGTAATCCTCAAGTTTTTCAATAGGAAATATCGGGGTTCGCTTATAAGGTATTTGACACACGTGCCAGGTACTTCTTGTGAGCCTGCCACACTCTGCTCTTACCCAATCTACGAGGTCCCTTAGTGTGACCGACCAGCAGGATTGCTCTGGAAGGTAAGTCCATCCTCACCCATGCCTCCCCATGGTCCCTCACTCACTCTGACTTGATGCCACCGTTTGGTGTACAGAGCTTTCTCCAGGCCATCTCTGTCATCTTTCCAGCTCCACCCCAGCCTCTTCAGTATCTGCCTACCATGCCCTCAGCCTCAGAAAACCCTCAGGGTCAGTGGGGCGGGCATGGTAACACCCAGCCACAGGTTAGTGCTCCATCTCTTCTCCGTGTTCCCTCAGCCAGAAAGTCCTTCTTTTCTCTGAGTGCCGACTTCCTCCTCTTCAGCCCTGCCAGCCCTGTCAGCCTCCTCCCTCGGATAACAGCACCGCTCCGCAGACCTGGAGGCATCCTGTTCACCATTCCCTTACATTCTGTGTCCCTATATTTGACCAGTCACCAAGTCTCTTTGGCTCTAACTTCTGTCGGAGCAAACGTGGCCGTTTCACATCCCGCACTTACCCAGGACTTGCCTCAACGTTGTTGGAACCGCACCGCAGTCTCCCTGCCTCTGCCCTTCTTCTCTGTCCCCACTCGTGACCCGTGAATCGTAGCGTGGTGTTCCTTGATGAAACACCCTTCATCTGCTTTTCATTTCACTCAGAGAACAACCAAGCCCTCCCCTTGAAGACCTTACACAGTGTGATGCCCCCATACAACACCTGATGTTCTCCCAACCTCCATCTCCCGCTGCTCCTCCGTCTCTGACTCCCTCACACTCCAGTCTTTGCTGATTCTTGGCCAAGCAAAGCACACTCCTGCCACAGGGTCTACGTACTTCCTGGTGACTCTGGCCTGAGCATTTGTCCAGTGCATGGCTACCCTTCACTAACCAGTACGGCCGTTACCAACCTGCTTTGTGGTGAAGCTACCTCTAGAATTCCGTGGTGGTTTGAATAAGAATGATTTTCATGGGCTCAGATATTTGAATGCTTAGTCCACAGCTGGTGGAACTGTTTGGGAAGGATTAGGGGGTGTGGCCTTGTTGGAGGAGGCGTCACCTTGTTGGAAGACGGTATCATTAGGGGTGGGCTTTGAGGTTTGAAAAGTCCATGCCATTCCAAGTTGACTCGCTTATACCTTGTGTTTGTGGAACAAGATGCAAGCTCTTGGCTACTGCTTCAGCCCTGCCTGCCTGCTGCCATGCTCCCTGCCGTGGTGGTCATGGACTCTAACCCTCTGGAATGTGAGCCCCAAACAAAATGCTTCCTTGGCCATGCGTTTTGTCACAGTGATAGAAAAACACATTAGCTTTGCCACCAATAAACCATCGCTGTATTATGATTTCAGTGTGTTTAGGGCTTTAAAATATTTTAGTTTGTTTCTTTCTGCAGGAGTATAAGCTCTATGCAGACAGGGAATTTTTGAGGGCATCTTTTTTGTGTGCTCATTTCTGTTATCCCACAAAGCATGGTTGCATGAAATAGACACCTTAAACAATAGGTGACGCAAACTTCCTCAGTTTTCTCCTACCCTGTGGCAGTCATCTTCCCATCACTGTGACAAAGTACCTGAGACAAATAACTAGTTAAGAGGAAAGATTAGTTCTGGCTCATGACTTCAGAGTGTTTAGTCTGTGATCACGGTCATGTTGTTTTGGGCCTATGGTAGCACAATGCATTGTGGCAGAGGTCCGTGGTAGACCAGCTGTCCTAAAAAGGATGAGACTGTCTCAGGAGAACAAAAAAGGTATACGGCAGTGGAGGCCTCTCTCTGTGTGGTGACCAGTGAGCAAAGAGAAAGAGGACCAGGCTAGGTCTGAGTAGTCCCTGTAGTGACGCCATGCAGTGACGTCACTTCCGCCAGCTAAGTGCCTCCATGTCCACACAGCACCCTGGGGGGCTGGGGGGCAACTTGGCAAGTCATCCAAAGTCTTTAGTAGCTGACTGAGTTGTTTCCCAGGAAGTCAGACCTCCACAGTTCCCCTCTGTGTGTTTGGAGAATTGATTTAGAAAAAATTATAAGAAGCAGTTGTTTCGTTTACAGAGAGGGACAGTTTTTGAATATCATTTGGGCCAAATGGCGTTAGTGTTTTTAGAGATAAGGGTGCAACCCGCTGGCCACCCTAGACTTCTCAAGCTGCTTCTTTTGTGAAGTGCATCTATTTCCACAGCCGTCCCTGATCTGAAGAGTGATCGGCCACAGGCTATCTGCCGTTCCTGTCTGTCCCTGTGTGAAGACGCCCTGTTCCAGCCACTGGGCTCAGCTGTGGCACCTGCCTTGTAACTTACACCATGTCTTGTGAGTCCAGGAACAGCTATTGTAAATGGAGGTTCCCACCATGTGAACTCGCTGCCAAATACCTAGCAGTGCAGTGGGGACCCTTCTAGAAGCTTTCCATGGAAACGCTGGTCTGTTTCCAACCCGTTCCTTTCTTTTTAAAGTTTAGTCTTTTTGATAAAATGGATTTCAAAACATAAAGTCCCAGTCCAAAGTGTAGCAGCTTATAATAGTAAATGTGATCATGTCACCACTTGCATGTGATGTTATTGTGTTGGGGGATCCAGCCATCTTCCCAAGGATCATTCCCAAACACACTTGGGTTTCTGAGGTCACTCTCCATCTCAATCCAGTGTTTAACATGTTAGGAAAAAGCAGTGATCCTAGGAGCTAGTGATACTCCAATGAGAAGAGGGCTCTTCCCAAACACTGGGAGCCCCTTTTATTTAAAGAAAATCACATTGATTTATTCTGTGTGTGTGTGTGTGTGTGCGCGCGCGCGCTATGGTGTAAATGTAGGCATGAGCAGACAGCTGTGGGAGTCAGTTTTCTCCACCATGTGGGTCTAAGTGATGGAATTGGGTCATTAGACTTGGTGAGCCATCTCTCCAGCCCAGAGCCCCCCTTCTCTGGAAGATCTACGTATGAATACATGACTCACCGTTAGGAATAATCGGGTGCTGGGGCCTCCTGTGAGCACTAGAAAGGGTCTCCGAAAGGATGGGAACGTCTGCTCTACAACTGCGCTGCACTCCTGCCTAGCCCTTGAGTTTTCCAGAAAAGAACAGTTTTATGTATTTTTCAAAGTCAACACTCTGTACTGCTGGTTTTCAAAAGAGGCCCCAGGGACCAACAATGTCTGTAAGAATTCTCTCGATGCAAACTGGATCCTCTCAAAATGTGTGTTTTCTGCATGTAATTTATGAGAAAGTAACACATGCTCCCAGGACAAATTCACAAGGTTTCAAAACAGTATCGGGAGTAGCGGAAGGTAGTCCAGTCCATAAAGGGCTTGCTGGACAAGCACTGGGACTTGAGTTTAATCCCCAGAACCTACATTAGAGAAGCTTGGCGGGTGGTGGGTGGTTACAGGCCCAGCATTGGGGAGAAGAGACAACCCAGTCCCCAGGGCTCCAGGGCCAGGCATTCTAGCCCACTTAATGGGTTCTAGGTCAATAGGAGACATCGGCCCTTCTAAAAAAAAAAAAAAAAGAAAGAACGGGACTATCACCTGAGAGATGATGTCTATAGGTATCTGTTGACCACACATGTGTGCCTGTACATGTACCTGTGTTCCTGGACATGCATGTATACATGAACACATATGCACACTCATATACAAACAATATCTTGTCCTTCCCATTTTTCAGTTTCTTTCCCTCTAGGCAACCATGGGTCCTATTATCTTGTGTTTCTGCCAGTAGCATCCGAAGAATATAAATGTATTTGTAGGCATATGCTTTAAAAAAAAAATACAACAGTAGCACATCATGCTTAAGGTCTGTGTCACTGGGTCTAATTGATCATTTTCTATGTATCGATCTTGCACAGTTAAAATAACTTTTGTTATAGAGAAACACTAAAATCCCAGTGTTTTATTGTATCGGTTTATTTTTCTCCCATGCAACCATGAAATGTGGGCAGTTCACAGAAACACGGACAGCTCCTTTTCTAGCAGCTCCTGGGGCGCAGGGGGGAGGGAATCTTGGGATTTGGGGCTCCCAGCTGATGTTTGGGAATAAAGAGGGTCTGGAGGATCTGAGGGGAGTCTGGTTGGAGGTCTTTGTGAGCCAATTCTGGAGGTGGCATGTACCCTTTCCGTCCACATTCTTGAAGCCAAAAATGAAATGCTTTTAGAGACAGGTGGCTCTGTCAAAGGTAATCTCTGCAATGGGCCACCAATCACCAGTCTCCACTCCACGCAGTCCTGAAAGGCTCCACAGGTCTTTGGTGAGGAAGCTAGCCACTTCTGGCCATCACCGTTCGTAAATGTACCTGCGTTCCTTTTGGTTGCAGCAAGAGCGGTTTTATTTCTTCTTGGAACGTGAGAGGACAGTGGGAGGACAGTGGGAGGTTAGGGTGCTCCCGGGCCCCAGGGTTATGATTGTGTCTGTGGGCAGAACACCGGCACCTGCCCGATCACTTCCCTGGAGGAGGGGCACATGCATGCATGTGTTCTTGTGTCAGGGTGCACATTGTGTGCACGTGGCAGTCAGAGGACAACCATGGCTGCCATTTATCAGCTACCACCCACCTTCTCTTCAGCAAGGCCTGTGAAGACCCAGAACTTACCGATGCTCTAGGCTGGCTGGCCTGGCCTGGCTCCAGTTACTCACCTGTCTCCTAACACTGGGATTATAGATGCACACCACCATCCCTGAGGGCTCCTTTTGCGTTTTGTTTGGTCTTGTTTTGTTTCTTGATCTTTGAAACATGGGTTCTAAGGCTGGAACTGAGGTACTTGCCTGCTTAGCTGCCACTGCACCCCAGCCTGCCGCTCAGTCTCTATAGTCAGATTACAGTCAGTCATCCTTTCCAAGTTTGAGCTGTAATGCCCCCTCCCCCTCTCAATGCAAGACTTTGCAACCCAGAAATTCCCTGGCAACCTTTTTGCTTACAAAACTTTCCTTGCTACTGGAGAGAGAGAGAGAGAGAGAGAGAGAGAGAGAGAGAGAGAAAGAAAGAGAACGAACAAAAAATGAACTAACAGAAATCAGCAAGAAGAGACCTCTCGTTAAGGTAAACACTGACCGGGGAGGCTTCATGGAGCTGATAGAATCGTGGCGGCCCTAGCCTTTCCTCCTCCACAAATGCAGAAGCAGCTGGAAGGAAAACCTAAAGTCTAGGAGGGAATGGCTCCCTCCTCCACAACTCTGCCTACGTCAGCCCCTGAAATAGAAACGTGGGGATGGAGTGATTTGATAGAGAGAAGAAGTGGAGGTGGGGAGCAGTGAGTTCCCTGCCCTGAGGGCCCCAACTGGCCAACCTGCTGCCTCCCTGGGGGCATCAGGGCAGAGAAAAGGATGGAAGCATGGGTACACACACACACACACACACACACACACACACACACACACACACACACACACAGGAATTTCCGCGTCTGTTTTCTCTTCCTCTCTGCTTCCATACTTGCTGGGCTGCATTTCTCCATGTTGGCACATTCAGAACCGTGGATGCTAAACACTGAAGGCAGTTAGTTCTCCAGAAAGGAGCTCTGGGCCATGGTGGATTCTCCTGACCTATCCCTGGTCTCCAGCCTCCCAGCCAGCCCCTTTCTACAGCACTAGACTTGCACTTAAGGTTAGCATAGGGCCGGGAGAAAGGGAGGCAGAGAGGGAAAGGAGGAGGCTTGGTCCAGATCTTTTCTTAAAGAAACAAGTACTTTGCTACCGAGGCTTACCTCTGGGAACTGTGACCCTCTCCAGCAAGGAAAATGGGACTGTGACAACCAAACCTGGATGCAGACAGAAGACAGGAGCCATCAAGGAAGTGAAGTAGTTCTCTTCATACTGGAATGAAAAGGTTATCAAAATGTCATCTGTCAGCTGAACGCCCCTTCATGTCCTTCTGGCTGTCCCAGAAAACACAGAAGGCCACAATGTAAGCAGAACAGGACTTGGCTAAACACGGCTGAGCAGGGCGGCTGGAGGTCCCGGGGGCCTTGTTTGGGTACATCAACAGACCAGTATGTGTGTCTTTGTAGCCGTCAAACCACAATCATTCCCAGAGGGCATGTGGATTCAGATCTATCGCCTTGAGCCCTGGGTAGAGAGTATCAAATAGTTGTAGAGAGCTCTCTGGGTTTGTACTATCATGGGAAGTGGTAATACTCCATCTTCCTCCATAGGAACAACTGGGAAACCATGATGGAGGTGGGATCTGGGTCTCCCTGATTCAGCCACCAGCACGATAGAAAATGAGAGAAAGATGCTGAGGTCCTTATCGTCTTCCAGAGACACAGAACCAATAGTTCTCCTTCTCTGGAAAGAATACAGCTGATTTGTCTAAGTTCTGTTTAACAGGAGATGATAGACCCCAGAGCAGCTCTGTTCATAACTTGCTACACACCTGTCAGCCCCTACAGAAAGCAGGGCTGGGGGCTGGAGATGAGACTCAGCAGTTAAAGACACTGGCTGATCCTACAGAGAACCCAGCTTCAATTCCCAACACCCACAGGGCAGCTCACAACTGTCTATAACTCCTGTTTCAAGGAGTCTAACTCCCTCTTCTGGCCTCCTTGGTGCACTACACCCAGGTAATACAGACATGTGGCAGGTGAAATACCCATACACATGAAATAAAAATAAATTTTGAAAAATTTTAAAGTAAGTTTCATTTTAGAGAACATTAGAAGGCAGTTCTATTTCTGCTCTTTGGAATCTACCTACTTAGCATGTGCTGCGGAAAGATGGACAGGATGAGAGATATTTTGAAAAGGAATTGGTTCATTAACGGGAGTGTGGGGATGAACTAAGTTCAAAGCCTGTAGAGCAGGCTGGTGGGCAGTTCTGATAAGCATGGATGTTATAGTCTTGACTCTGAAGTCTTCAGGCTGGAAGCATGTGAGGTTTCTCTGTGATACAGGCTTAAGGCAGAATATTACTTCTTTTACAAATATCAATCCTTGCTCCAAACGCCTTCAATTCAGTGGATGAGACCCACTCACATTATGGAAAATCATTGCCTTTCTGTTCCAACTCTAACATCAGGCTGCACAGGGCCAGAACTGACTATGGATGCAGCCCAACACACAACCATAGACTTACTAAAAACAAAGTTTGCAGGTCTAAACTTTGCAGATGAAATGGTGGTTTTGCAATGCCAAAGGAGTGGCCATGCCAGATGCTGATGTAAATGTTGATCTTGTCTAAGAAAACAACTTTCACAACACCTGAATTAGAAGGTTGTATTTTGTTTTGGTTGAGATTTAGGATTTTAATTTCTGGATGTTGTTTTCTCTTCATGTGTTTGGTTTTTGTTGTTGGAAATAGGTTTTCAGACTTAACTCGGGCTGGCCTCAAGCTTGCTGTACTCCCGAGTTAGTCTCTCAGTTTCTAAGATTATAGACAAGTGCACCATGCCAAGATTAAACTAGCATTTGCCCCAACTACTGGGCTCTCTAGACTGGCCAGGTTGATACAGAAGATGAGCCCTCCCTGGAGAATATCTCCTCCAGTCAGTAGTCACGGTGATTTTGAAGTAATATTTCTAGGCTCTATAGTTTGATAAATTTTATTTATATTGGTAAATTGAAAGTGGAATATTTTAGTCAAATTCCCATAGGTCAAATGTTGGAAATGCCTTAGGCATGCATAAAAATTGTGTTATGGGCCAGACTGTCTCAGTAACAGGATGACCATTTTTTTGTGCCACATGATATGTGCCATAATCTCTGATATAATGGGCATTCATTGAAAATGGTCTTTTTTTTTTTTTAACCTTGCTGTCAGAAGGCAAGTACACGGGCCAGTACTGAGTGCTGAAGCAGTGGGAACTCCAACCTGATAAGGGCTGAGAGGAATAGATTTCAATCCCCACTTGGGGATGTGCAGAGTGGCGTCTGATAGGCAAAGAGGAGCCCTCTGTAAAAGTTTAACCTCAAGGTGCTACAGCCTGGCTTCAAGTCCCAGCTCTGGTGCCGCTCTCATGTTCTTTATCTATCCAGTGCCTCAGTTTCCTCACACATACAGTGAGGATGACAGACACAGTTTCTCCCTTGGATGATCTTGTGAGGACCCATTGCGTCAATGTGTCTACACAGCATTGTGTAAGCATTTGCTATGATAATGAAATAAAATCCAAGTAGAGAGCTGTGGTGGTGGAAAAGAAGTTTCTGGAAATACTTTTATACCTCAGAGCTTTGCTATAATTCCTTACATGTTTAAGATCACTTTATAACATTGTCTTTGGGGAGACTTCATTCATAATCCTCTTAGATGAATGGGAACCAGGATGGAGCCTTCTTATATACCGAATCCTGCACCGTAGTTAACCGTGCCATGGGGAGTTTCTAGGGTATTAATAAAGTGCTAATATACCTATGAATGTTAAATGTCTTGGAAGCAGCTTCCTGATGAGCAAATAGCAGATGTGGCCATGGTCATGGTCTAATTGCCTGAGAGCAGTTAAATACAGTTTTTAGTGCTTTTCCAAGCAGTTAATTGAAAGCCGAAATATTTTCTCTTAAGGCCCATCAATTGTTCTCACTGGTCAAGTGAAGGGTATGGGCTAGAGGAGAAAGGCTGATCAGGAGAGCATTTGCCTCCTGCACATCTAATTGGTCTTGTTAATTGTTGGGGGAATTTTTCTAGTAGAGTTTATTGTTGTAAAAATCCTATCCCTAAAATATTACTAGTTGTCTTTGAGTTTTTCTACATGCCAGGTACTATAGAATGTATATATATATTTATATATACATAAATGCATGCATAATCACTTGTAATCTTCAAAATAATCTGATGAAATGTAGCATAATTGTAATTCTGCATTTGAGGGAACTAAAGCTTAGATTAATTTGTTCCCAGTACATAGCAGTTAGGGGGTCTCAAATAGCAGGAATACGAAACACCAGACATTTTAAGCTACTTTCTAAGGAGCATCTTTTAATCTTATATATTAAAATTAGCCTTACTTCCTAGTAGGGACTTCTAGGTGGTTGGCAAGATGAGGATTGCTAGCCACCAGCTTCAGTGAGGGACCATGTCTCCAGGAAATTTGATGGAGAGTGATGGGGCAGGATGTCTTCTTCTGACCTCCCCACATGTGCTTGAGCACACGTACATGCACACACACACACACACACACACACACACACACACACACACACACACACTGTACACAGACCAAGTAAAGAGAAAAACAATCAGCAATTATTCATTATGATAGCCCCAGAGCCAGCAGCTGTGTATGTGGGCTAGTTATTGCTTGAGTCTTCGGAAGTTGCTTCTGTGTACTTACACACTCCTGTGTGTTTAGCTTCTGAAAAATTACTGCATTGAGATGACACAGACCATCAGGCTCATTACACAGACTGGAAAGTATTCGGTTCTGGCCTTGAGTCCCTCATATCAACCACGAAAATTTGCTAAAGTCCACATTCCCTGAGTCTGAAAGAGTCAGCCTGGATGGTGTGTTGAGATAATTAATAAATCCTTTCCTTTCAAACACAATTTTTATTATGAAGAAACATACATATGCTATCTTCAGCTTCTGCGTGTAAGAAGTTTACCACACCTTACATGAAGCAAATGTCCAGTGTTGTGTATCTTGAATGGTTAACTCCAAAATCAAGGTGGAACAAACAAATATGAAACTTTCCCAGTTCATGTTTTGTGGGGAAAGAGTGTTTGTAGGGTTGGTTTATTAGTGTTCGCCATTCTGATTCTCCTACCATGCTTTGTGGAGAGACTCAACCCTTCTTCATTAGAAGATACCTAGTCCTAAAATGGGATGTAGCTAATCAGGGCTGGGGACCTGAGCTGCACACACATCCACTAGGAGTGGGACACAGGCGCCTTGCCAAGACTGTTCCCCTGTGGCACTTCCCATCCTTTCCCATGTGGTTTGAATAGTGACTGAAAACCCTGGTTGGAGACATGGCATCCTGGGACATCCTACAGACAGGAAGAGAAAGCTGTGCTGGTTAAGCTAGAAATTGGGAGCATTCAAGTCTCCATCACTTCTTTTCTCAGTTGTGGGAAAGTGGGCCTCAGACAAATGTTTATTAAATATCTGTCTGTGAGGGGTGTTTAAAATTAGTGACGCTTATGACCTTAGCTGAAAATTAGTGTGAGGGTTTGTTGACATTTAAGTATCTTGGTGCAATTCAGAGTTTCCTTAAGTTGTATGTAAAAGACTACAGAGCACTGTGGGATATGCCGCCCTGGCTGTAGTTTGGTTCTAGTGTTAATGATGAATGTGCCTCTATTTAAAAAGAGGAATTGGTAGCCAGCATTCAGCAGCCCTTAACATCAAAATAAAACCTTAGAGTTTAAGAGTAAGTCTAGAGAGATAGCCCAATTGGTAAAATGCTTGCAAGCGGAACCAAATTTGACTCCCAGAATCCACATTTCAAAAGCAAACAAACCCCAGGATGCAGAGACAGAGGGAACTCTCTCTCTGGGGCTTACCTGGCCAAAAGCCAGATACCTGAGTCCCAGATCAGTGAGAGATGCTGCCTCAAAAGAACAAAACCAAGAGAACTGGCATGTACAGACCAGGAGGCTGGGAGAAGTGGGGGGGGGACCCCAAGGCATAACCTCCTAGAAACTGTTTCGGTCCTTTCAATGTGCTGGGCACTGAAAGGTAGGGAAAGTGGAAACGTCTTTTGAAAAATGACCCCGAACTTACAACCACACCTTATATTGCCAAGTCATATCCCATGTTTTCTGCAATGGATAACAAAAGGTTGTCCGAATCTGTCACCTGCATGACAGTGTCTTCCTTGTGCAGTTGTTGAATCTAAGTTGAGAGATCCAGGTAAAGAATTCAGCCCATGGGCTGGAAAGAT